TATGTAAGGATTTTCCGGAACGATATTCAGGTTAGTAGGCGGATTTTTAAAGACAAATTTCTAAAGGACTATCAGCTCAATAGGCGTCGATTTTTAAAGTCAATTTTCTAAAGGACATTCAGGTCAATAGGCGTGGATTTTTAGAGTCAATTTTCGAAAGGACATTCAGGTCAATAGGCGTTGATTTTTGAAGACAATTTTCTAAAGGAAATTCAGGTCATCATGTGGGGACTTTAAAGGGTTAAAGACAATTTCATAGAGGACTATCAGGTTATTATGTGGGATTTTTAAACACAATTTTCTAAAGCATTATCAGGTCAATAGGCGTGGTTTTTAAAAGATAATTTTCTAAAGGATTATCGGGCCAATAGTCATGGATTTTTAAAGACAATTTTCTCGAGAATTATCAGGTCAATAGGCATGGTTTTTTAAAGACAATTTCCTAGAGGATTATCAAGTCCATATGCGCGTTTTTTTAAAGACAATTTCCTAGAGTACAATCAGCGGTATATGTGTGGTTTTTTAAAGACAATTTCATAGAGGACTATCAGGTCTATAGGCGTGGTTTTTTAAAGACAATTTCCTAGAGGACTATCAGGTCTATAGGCGTGGTTTTTTAAAGACAATTTTCTAAAGGACTATCAGGCCTATAGGCGTGGTTTTTTAAAGACAATTTTCTAAAGGACTATCAGGCCTATAGGCGTGGTTTTTTAAAGACAATTTCCTAGAGGACTATCAAGTCTATAGGAGTGGTTTTTTAAAGACAATTTTCTAAAGGACTATCAGGCCAATAGGCGTGGATTTTTAAACATAATTTTCTAAAGGACTATCAGGTCTATAGGCGTGGATTTTTAAACATAATTTTCTAAAGGACTATCAGGTCTATAGGCGTGGTTTTTTAAAGACAATTTTCTAGAGGACTATCAGGCCAATAGGCGTGGATTTTAAACATAATTTTCTAAAGGACTATCAGGTCTATAGGCGTGGTTATTTAAAGACAATTGGTTTGTCTCTTTGGGTTTTTAAAGACAATTTCCTAGAAGACTATCAGGTCGTTTTGTGTGGATTTTTAAAGACAATTTCCTAGAAGACAATCAGGTCGTTTTGTGTGGATTTTTAAAAACAATTTTCCAAAGGACTTTCAGATCAATAGAAGTGGATTTTTAAAGACAATTTTCTAGACCACTATCAAGTCAATAGGCGTGGTTTTTAAAATACAAATTTCTAAAGGATTATCAGGTCAATAGGCGTGAATTTTTGAAGACAATTTTCTAGAGAACCATCAGGTCAATAGGCGTAGATTTTTAAGGGCAATTTTCTAAAGGATTACCGAGTCAGTATGCGTGGATTTTAATAAAATATTTTCAGAAAGACTTTCATGTCGCAAGGCGTAGATTTTTGAGGACTATTTTTTTAATTTTTTATACATAATTAAGTTCCTTTTGTATTGGCTATAAAAACTAAGTATTTCTTAAGCTAACTGAAATAACACACATGTTTTGTAATTAAAACTTTTATTTATATTGTGAGTTATATTTTGTGTGGATTTATTTACTTAGGCATAATAAGGGGATATTGAATCCATAGCTAATTAAAAGGCACAAACATTATATTTCAATTTACAAAAGCAGATTAATTTCCAAGTAATATAAATATGAATTTCATATTTATTTTACTTTTGAATTGATATGTGAATATACACTTTTTTCATATACATATTTACATTTCCATTGAAGTTTGTTTTTATTTGCAATTGAAAGAAAATGTGTGTGTGTGTGTTGATAAAACTTCCATGTAATTCGTAATCTTTTGATAATAAAATTGTAACTAAAGCTAAGGTGTGTGTAGTTGAAAAACTAATATAATACGTGGAAAATTTTTGTTTATTCATATTAGTGTGAAAATATTTTATTTCCCCAGGGAAATTAAATTTTGATGCATAAAAATATTAGAAAAATTAAAAAAACCGTTGAAAAATTTACATACCAGTGAGCGGAGCTGTATTGTCAGATGGGGCCATCCATAGGATACCCTACACAACTCCCAGTGAGCTCTAAGTTTTTGAGGATATATATTCCGAGCCTTGGTTATATTTCAAGTTATTACAACACTCTTGACCCAATAAAGGTTTACAACTCCTCTACAGCATCCTTTTTTGATAAATGATTTCATAAGATTAAATTTTTTTTATTTTACACAAAAAAGTTTTGCTGAGAATTTGTACTACAATTGAGGCCACATAAAGCTATAATACCCTTACAGCAAGTTGTGTAGGATATAAAAAATCAACGTTTATAATAGACTTCCCTTACATCGTCTATTAAGACTCTTCTTTATTTCAATATTAAATTAATTCACAGATAAACAGTAAGAAAAGTAGTAAAGTCGGACCGGGTCGTCTATGTGATACCCTTCACCACTTTGGGTATATTCTATATGTGTATCCTAACAGACTTCGCCTTTTCGAAGGCGAAGTCTGTTGAACGAACTTCAATATGTGACCTTTATCTATAAATCGTAAATCGACTAACATCAATACCTACACATGCCATCCTGCACCTATGCTTAATTTTGTAAATCGATTTAAAGGAAACTTGACACACGCTATTCGGTATGCTGCACTGTTTAAAATTTAATTTCAATCAGACACCCATTGGTCCCTTAATTTGGTGTACACACATCATTCCTAACTCAATTCAATACACTACATATAGGGACTTTGGTGCATCATTTACATTACATCGGACGAAAATATATATGTCAGCTATATCGAAATCTGAATCAATTGTTCCGAAACTTACCACACATCATTGTAGACTCAATTCAGCAGGCTATGCCAACTTTTGTGAAAATCTAAAGATATATGGGGACATTGGTGCACCATTTACATTAAATCGGACGAAAATATATATATGGGAGCTATATCTAAATCTGAACCGATTTTCACGAAACTTAGCACACATCATTCTGGACTTAATTCAGTGCGATATACAAAAATTCGTGCAAATCAAAAGAAGTATACGTACTTTAGTGTACCATTTACATTACATCGGACGAAAACATATATGAGAGCTATATCTAAATCTGAACCGATTTCCTAGAAACTTGCCACTCATCATTCTAGACTCAATGCATTACAATATGCCAAACTTCGTGCAAATCGAGGGATATAAAGGGACTTTAGTGCACTATTTACCTAATATCGGACTAAACTATATGTGGGAGCTATATATAAATCTCAACCGATTTTCACGAAATTTAACACATATCGTTCTAGACTTAATATAGTGCACTTTGCCAAATTTAGTGAAAATCGAAGGATATATAGGGACCTTGGTACACTATAGGAACTATGGGAGCTATATTTAAATCTGAACCGATTTTTACAAAACTTAGACTAAATTCAATACCCTATGTACGACTTCGTGCAAATCGCAAGATATATAGGGACTTTGGGGCACCTGTTACATATAATCGGATGAAAATATATATGAGAGCTATATCTAAATCTGAACTGATTTCTATAAAACTTAACGCATATCATTCAACACTCCATTCAGTGCACTATGCCACATTTCGTGCATATCGAATGACATATAGGGACTTTGACGCACCATTTACATTTAATCGGAGGAAAATATATATGGGAGCTATATCTAAATCTGAACCGATTTTCACGAAACTTAGCACACATCATTCTAGACTTAATTCAGTGCGATATACCAAAATTCAAAAAATCAAAAGAAGTATACGTACTTTAGTGTACCATTTACATTACATCGGACGAAAACATATATGAGAGCTATATCTAAATCTGAACCAATTTTCTAGAAACTTGCCACTTATCATACCAGACTTAATTCATTGCGATATGCCAAATTTCGTGCAAATCGAAGGATGTATAGGGACTTTGGTGCACTATTTACCTAAAATCGGACGAATATATATATGGGAGCTATATTTAAATCTGAACCGATTTTCACAAAACTTAACACACATCATTCTGGACTTAATTCAGTACCCTATGCCAAATTTCGTGCAAATCGCAAGATATATAGGGACTTTGGGTTACATACAATCGGATGAAAATATATATGAGAGCTATATCTAAATCTGAACTGATTTCCACAAAACTTAACATTTATCATTCTACACTCAATACAGTGCACTATGCCAAATTTCGTGCAAATCGAAAGACATATAGGGACTTTGGTACACAATTTACGTTAAATCGGACGAAGATATATATGGGAGCTATAACTATATCTGAACCAATTTTCACGAAACTTTGCACAGATCATTCTAGAAAATATATACGGACGAAAATATATATGGGACCTATATCTAAATCTGAACCGATTTTCACGGAACTTAGCACACATCATTCTAGACTTGATTCAATACCCTATGTAAAACTTCGTGCAAATCGCAAGATATATAGGGGCTTTGGTGTACCTTTTACATAAAATCGGACAAAACTATATATGGGAGCTAATCGATATTGAATCGATTTTCACGAAACTTAGCACACATCATTCTTGACTTAATGCAATACCCTATGTAAAATTTCATACAAATCGAAAAATATAGGGACTTTAATGAACCATCTTCATTAAATCGGACGAAAATATATATATGAGAGCTATATCTAAATCTGAGCCGATAAATGAGCTGTACTAAATTTCATCCAAATTGGATTATAAATGCGAACTGCACTTTATTTGCAATTTAACATAAACAGACGGACGGACAGATGGACGGACGGGCATGCCTAAATCGCTTCAGAAAGCGATTGTATGCATATTTGCGAAAGGAACCATGTGTCTATCTCGTTTCCTTTCGCATGTTACAAACATATGGACAATTACATAATACCCTGTACCCCAGTGTGGTGAAGGGTATACACATTTATATTTATGTATAAATGTATGTAGCTATATAAGCAATTTTATATTTAAATAATTTGTTTTTATTTCTGCGCCTCCCCTTCTTTCATTTCCCTAAATTTGTTGACAATCCGTAACCAGATCTGTCTTGGTAAATTGCAACAACACCAGCTCATAGGTTAAGATTGTACCAGCCACCTATAAAAAAATTCCATTCAATTCAAATCAATAAATCCATTATTTGAAAATAAATCAATATTTGATAATTATTTTAGTATTAAATCGTTCAAAATTGATATAAAAAAATGTACTCCAAATAAAATGAACAATCAGATTCTTAAGAAAATAAAAAAAAAACAAACAACACCATCATCCGATATCTTAAATGTCATATGTCACTTAAACTTAATACAGTAAACGAAATACAACCGAACATATCCTTAGGTTTATATTTCACACATACATACACATAAATAATACTCACCGACAGGACCATGCTTCGTGTCAAATGGAAAAATTTCATGCCCGACAAAGCAGTACAATCCGCATTAACTTCTTCGGAGAAACGTTTAAGCTGTTCATGTCACAATAGAAATACAAACAGACACACACAAAGAAATAAAATGAGAGACACGGAGAGAGAGTGGAGGAGGCAATGAGACACGAATGTAATCACTTAAGAACAAATAAATATACATTTTAAAAATTACCTAAAACAAAAACATTCGTATTAAAACTTTTGCCAAAAAGTAAATTGCAAAGTTTTGCGCCGAGACCAAGGAAAAATAAATATTTTCGTAAAGTGTGTAAAAACTTAATGAAGTAAATAATGGCAACGACAACAAAAGTAATACGGAACAGCATAAAATGAGAAATTAGTTTGGTGACAGGAAAAATAAGAAATTATGACATTAATGGCTGGACAAAGCTTCAATGGGGAGATAAATTTAATTCTAATAAAGAATGTCAGATTTAGGGAAAATACCTTGGAAATTAAATATATGGGAGCTATATCTAAATCTGAACCGATATTCACTAAACTTAACTCACATAATTCCAGACTCAATTTAGTACGCTATGCCAAATTTCGTGGAAATCGAACGATATCTAGGATCTTCGGTACATCATTTACATTAAATCTGTCGAACATATATATGGGACCTGTATCTAAATCTGAACCGATTTTCAAGAAATTTTACACACATCATTCTAGACTTAATTCTGTACGCTATGCCAAAATTCGTGGAAATCGAAAGATATATAGGGACTTTGGTGAACCATTTACATGAAACCGGAAGAAAATATATATGCGATCTATATCTAAATCTGAACCGATTTTCACGAAACTTAGCACACATCATTTTAGATTGAATTTAGTGCGCTATACCAAATTTCGTGCAAATCGAATGATATTTGGCAAATTTGGCGCACCATTTACCTTAAATCGGACGAAAATATATATGGAAGCTATATCTAAATCTGAACCGATTATCAAGAAATTTTACACACATCATTCCAGACTTAATTCAGTACGCTTTGCCAAATTTCGTGGATATCGAAAGATATATAGAGACTTTGGTGAACCATTTACATAAAATCGGTCGAACATATATATGGGAGCTATATGTAAAACTGAACAGATTTTCAAGAAATTTGAAACACATAATTCTACACTCGATTCAGTACGCTATACCATATTCCGTGCAAATCGAAAGATTTATAGGGCCTTTGGTGCACCATATACCTTAAATCGGACGAAAATATATATGCAGCTATATCTAAATCTGAACCGATTTCCACGAAACTTAACACACATCATTTTGGACTTAATTTAGTACGCTATACCAAATTTCGTGCAAATCGAAAGATATGTAGGGACTTTGGTGCACCAGATACCTTAAATCGGATGAAAATATATATGGGAGCTATATCTAAATCTGAACGATGCAAATCGAAAGATTTATAGGGCCTTTGGTGCACCATATACCTTAAATCGGACGAAAATATATATGCAGCTATATCTAAATCTGAACCGATTTCCACGAAACTTAACACACATCATTTTGGACTTAATTTAGTACGCTATACCAAATTTCGTGCAAATCGAAAGATATATAGGGACTTTGGTGCACCAGATACCTTAAATCGGATGAAAATATATATGGGAGCTATATCTAAATCTGAACGATTTTCACGAAACTTAACACACATCATTCAAGACTCAATTCAGTGCCCTATGCCAAATTTTGTGCAAATCTAAAGAAATATAGGGACTTTGGTGGACCATTTCTATAAAATCGGACGAAAATATATATGGAAGCTATATGTAAACCTGAACCGATTTTCACGAAACTTAGCACACATCATTCTACACTTAATTCATTACCATATGCAAAATTTTGTGCAAATCGAAAGATATATTGGAACACCATTTACATAAAATCGGACGAAAATATTTATAGGAGCTATATCTAAATCTGAACCGATTTTCACGAAACTTAGCACACATCATTTTAGATTGAATTTAGTGCGCTATACCAAATTTCGTGCAAATCGAATGATATTTGGCAAATTTGGCGCACCATTTACCTTAAATCGGACGAAAATATATATGGAAGCTATATCTAAATCTGAACCGATTATCAAGAAATTTTACACACATCATTCCAGACTTAATTCAGTACGCTTTGCCAAATTTCGTGGATATCGAAAGATATATAGAGACTTTGGTGAACCATTTACATAAAATCGGTCGAACATATATATGGGAGCTATATGTAAAACTGAACAGATTTTCAAGAAATTTGAAACACATAATTCTACACTCGATTCAGTACGCTATACCATATTCCGTGCAAATCGAAAGATTTATAGGGCCTTTGGTGCACCATATACCTTAAATCGGACGAAAATATATATGCAGCTATATCTAAATCTGAACCGATTTCCACGAAACTTAACACACATCATTTTGGACTTAATTTAGTACGCTATACCAAATTTCGTGCAAATCGAAAGATATGTAGGGACTTTGGTACACCAGATACCTTAAATCGGATGAAAATATATATGGGAGCTATATCTAAATCTGAACGATGCAAATCGAAAGATTTATAGGGCCTTTGGTGCACCATATACCTTAAATCGGACGAAAATATATATGCAGCTATATCTAAATCTGAACCGATTTCCACGAAACTTAACATACATCATTTTGGACTTAATTTAGTACGCTATACCAAATTTCGTGCAAATCGAAAGATATATAAGGACTTTGGTGCACCAGATACCTTAAATCGGATGAAAATATATATGGGAGCTATATCTAAATCTGAACGATTTTCACGAAACTTAACACACATCATTCAAGACTCAATTCAGTGCCCTATGCCAAATTTTGTGCAAATCTAAAGAAATATAGGGACTTTGGTGGACCATTTCTATAAAATCGGACGAAAATATATATGGAAGCTATATGTAAACCTGAACCGATTTTCACGAAACTTAGCACACATCATTCTACACTTAATTCATTACCATATGCGAAATTTTGTGCAAATCGAAAGATATATTGGAACACCATTTACATAATATCGGACGAAAATATGTATAGGAGCTATATCTAAATCTAAACCGATTTTCACGAAACTTAACACACATCGTTCCAGACTCAATTCAGTACGCTATGCCAAATTTCGTGGAAATCGAAAGATATATAGGGACTTTGGTGAACCATTTACATGAAATCGGTCGATCATATATATGGGAGCTATATCTAAATCTGAACCGATTTCCACGAAACTTAACACACATCATTTTAGACTTAATGTAGTGCGCTATACCAAATTTCTTGCATATCGAAATATATTTAGGGACTTAGGTGCACCATTTACCTTAAATCGTACGATAATATATATGGGAGCTATATCTAAATCTGAACCGATTTCCACGAAACTTAACGCTCATCATTCTAGACTTAAAATAGAATGCTATGCCAAATTTCGTGCATATATAGGGACTTTGATACACCATTTACCTTAAATCGGACGAAAATATATATGGGAGCTATATCTAAATCTGAACCGATTTTTCCCAATTTAAATAGGGTTCGTCCTTGGACCAAATAAATGAGCTGTGCCAAATTTTATCTAAGTCGGATGATAAATGCGACTGCCGATTAGAGTTCAGTATCTCCTTATTCATACCCTGGCACATTTTCCGGGAAGAACATTTATGCCATTACAAGCAAAAATGACATTGGTTAATCGATTCCGGAGCAATGTCTACATACCCTCATTAGCCATAAGGCAGGCTAAGCGTATAATAATATTGATACGTGAGAATATCTTCTCCACCCCAAGACTATTTTGCGTATAACTAATATGCGATATTTGTATGTAGGTATGTTGAAATATTGATTAAATTATCTACACACATATCAACACTGGTTGTGACAAACGAAATTGAATTGGATTGTACAAATATCCTTCATTCCGTTGTGATGCTAAGAGACATTTTCGGAATTTTTCGCAACAATCAATCAATGATTTGACAGACAGGAACATTTTTTCCTTTTTTTTTTTTTGCAAGTCTAACCTTTGGAAAATTTTGAACGAGGTATAGGTAAATAAACTTGAATATTAAATATCTCTGAAGAGTTATCCATTTCACAAGCAACACAAATCTCTTGGGAAAGAAAGAAAACATCTTCGACCCACAAACTTTTCAACAAAAACCAAATGAATATTAAATCAAAGAAACCCTCCAACCCGAAGCCATCTAATAGCCTTTCTGTCTTCTGTCGTTGTCTGTTTTTCTTTTAATGACAGCATCGGCATTTGATTTGTTTGAAATTTTATATTATTTAAAATTCATTTCCCACAATGTAAAGAACAATTTTCGAATCATGTTAACACATCATCATTTGTGGCTCTAAACAATACCCCAGACAACAAAGGCAGGGGCTTGTGGCTTTTCTGTCTAGGAATTGCGTTGTAGAATCATCCTGAAAATCATCATCATCGTCATAGAAAAACAATTTATTTTCAAATAAATAGAAAAATAAACATGAAATTTTTGAAAATAAATTGAATTTTAATCAAGTATCGTAAACCGAGAAAGACAATAAATAATTGTTGTTGTTGGTATTTGTATTTTTTAACAAAGGACAATAAAACAAATCGAAGCAATCAAATTGATGAAAAAAATGTGTGTGGTGCATTTAAGTCTGGGGACATAAGGGTGTAATTTGGAACGAGGGAAGTCTTTATACATGAGTTTAGGAGATTCCCCATAAATGCGTTTGAGGGAGTCCCTAAAGAAAAATTGATAAAAAAAATTAGTTAAAAAAATCCACGCCTTGTTATTTGATGAAAAAATAATTAAAACCAGTAAGGAAAATAGTAAAAAACGGACGGGGCCGACTATATGATCCCCTTCACCCCTTTGGATATATTCAACAGATGAATCCTAACAGAGGTCCAATTTTTGAAGGACCATTAACATGAAATTGGAAATTAACTATAGTTCAGTATACAAAATTATGTGTCAATCGGACAAATTTTGGGTCTTTAGTGCACAATTTGCATAAAATCGGAAGAATATATATATATATATATATATATAGGATGTCTAAATTTGAACCGAAACTTAGCACACATCATTGTAGACCTTATTCAGTACGATATACTAAATTTCGTGCATATCGAAAGATATTTAGGGACTTTGGCGCACCATTTACCTCATATCGGACGAAAATATATATGGGAGCTATATCTAAATCTGAACCGATTTTCACGAAACATAGCACATATCATTATAGACTCAATTCAGTACGCTATGCCAAAATTCGTGCAAATCGAAAGATATTTAGGGACTTTGGCGCACCATTTACCTTAAATCGGACGAAAATATATGGGAGCTATATCTACATCTGAACCGATTTTCACGAAACTTAGCACACGTCATTCTAGACCTATGACCAATGACTATGCCAAATTTCGTGCAAATAAAAAGTTTTTAAGGGACTTTGGCGCAGCATTTACAACAAATCGGACAAAAATATATATGGGAGCTATATCTAATTCTCAACCGATTTCCACGAAACTAGACATAATTTAGTACGCTATGCCAAATTTCGTGCAAATCGAAAGATTTTTAGGGACCTTGGCGCACCATTTACCTTAAATCGCACCAAAATATATATGGGAGCTATACCTAAATCTGAACCGATTTTCACGAAACTTCACGTACGTCATTCTAGACCTAATTCAGTACGCTATGCCACATTTCGTGCAAATCGAATGATATATAGGGACTTTGGTACACCATTTACTTTAAATCGGGCGAAAATATATATGGGAGCTATATATAAATCTGAACCGATTTTCCCGAAACTTAGTACACTTCTTTATAGACTTAATTTAGTACGCTACGCCAAATTTCGTGCAAATCGAAAGATCTTTAGGGACTTTGGCGCACCATTTACCTTAAATCGGATGAAAATATATATGGGAGCTATATCTAAATCTGAACTAATTTTCACGAAACTGAACACACACCATTTCAGATTTAGTTCAATACGCTGTGCCAAATTTCGTGCATATCGAAAGCTATATAGGGACTTTAGTGCACCATTTACCTTAAATCGGACGAAATTATATATATGAGCTATATTTAAATCTGAACCGATTTTTCCTAATGGGTTCTTCCTTTTATAAAATCTACACTATTCCTTTTTGGGAATAAAAAATAATAAACCCAATGTATTGGCCTTGAAAATTAAGTCCTAAATCTAAACAATATCTAAAACAATTCACATCTATAAAATCTCCCTTCATCCGCGGTCGCCTTTTGAGGACCCTTCTCTGTCAAGTGGTCTATACAATTTATTATCAATTTATGTGTCCTACAATTTGCAAATATTGTGGTAACGAAAGTTAACGGCTGTGAGGCGGTTGAATCGGAAGGCAGTAAATGTAACCCAAAACCCAAAGAAAATAATGTGTGCTTTCGAAGGTGAGTGGGGTGGCTTGCTACCTTGGCCGACACGTGTGACAATTATTGACACCAAACCACAGTCAGGCCATAATATACCATTTAACTGTTGCTATCAAATGTTGATTTTGTTGGTGCTGTTGTTGTTGTATTTTGTTTACGACTTACCTCCGAACACCAATATTCCCTTTTGACATTGCGAAATATGGCCAACGGACGCTTCGATTCATCATGCACAGCTGCCGCATAGAGGGCAAACAAAAAAGTGCGAAATATCAAAAAAATCAATGAATACCAAAAATATAAATTGTGGGTAATCGATGGCTTCTTCCTTTTATCGAGTGGTGGGTATGGAAGGATGAAGGGAAGGTGTACAGCAGAAGTCGTCCGCAGTGGGTGTCAAATTTGTTGGCAGTTTGGTTATGGCGGTTGTCGTTTTTTTTTTTCACAGAAACGAAAGGTAAAGGAAAGACACCAAAAATGGGGAATAAATAAATTGAAATGTCTAAGAGTTTTTTGTTTTAACAAAGAAATAAAAATGGCGAAAAGTCCCCGAATCCCAAAAAAAAACTGCCCATAAAATGGTACAACTGTAAAAAAGAAGAAAATATATATTCGAAAAAAGTATTGTTATTCGGGGTAGAAAAAATGTATAAATAAGCCAAATCTCTGTTGAAATTAAAAAAAAATCACGCCATCGATGGTTAATGAAAAATAATATTTAAAAAATCCACACCTTCGATGGTTAATGAAAATAATTATTTAACAAAATCACGCCTTCGATGGTTAATGAAAAACATTATTTTAAAACCAGTAAGGAAAGCAGTAAAGTCGGACGGGGCCTACTACACTGAGAGAAAAATGCTTCATTGGATCAATGAAACATTTTCATAAGAATTTTTTCATTCATCCAATGAAAATTTTCATTAATAGAATGAAACTTCATAGATCCAATGCAAAAGTTGCATTGATCCAATGAAGGTGTTATGAAGGCTTCATAAAAAAAAATCATAAAAATAATTTCATTGGTTGAATGCAATATTTCATAGGTTAAATGAAATTGCTTCATAAAATTGCTTTCATTTTTATGAAACTTTAATGAAGGTTTTCATAACCCATTTTCATAAAAGATGTTCATTGGTCGAATGAAAAGTTGCATACATGTTTTGAAATAGCTTCATTAAATTGCATTATTTCTTATGAAACTACATTGAAATTTTTCGTCCACAATGTTTATAGAGAATGTTCATAGGCTGAATGAACCGTTTCACATTGTTAATGAGATGGCTTCATAAATAAATGGACATGCTGTGCTTTGCTTTTTACGTTTGGTCAAATCTCTCTAAACATTATTTCTAGCTTTTTCCTTAATAATGTTCGTTAGAAGCCTAAATATACAAAAACATTCTTGTTACGAGAAACAAAATACACAAGACTGAACGTGACTGAAACTGCACTAAGAATAAAATACAGTTGAACCTCGATTATCTGAAATAGTTCCTGTTTGATTTATAATGAATAATGGAAAGCCTTTCATGGATGAAATTTTTCAGTTTATAAAAATATATTTTATTTAATTTACAAAATAATATTGGCGGGTATGTTTTATGTATTAGACAAACAATTTTATATTTAATATAATTTTGTAAATATCGCATACTCGAGTGTCAACTGTAGTTTGGTTATTCAGTAAAGCGTGTGTGTGTATGGGAGCGTACCAACATAGAGTTTGATTCAGTGTTGATAACTTAGCCTTATTCTAACTATATTTCGCGTTTATTTAATTTAAGTAGACGAAAGATTTATACAATTATATTTATTGTTGCTCTGATATATTTTGTGTACACTTGAAAAAGAAAAAATATAATCGCAATAAAATCGAAAAGTGATCCGGAACTTGTGACAGCTACAGACGAAGTAATAAACATGTTTGCATCTTTAACCATTTTTTATGTTTTTTTAATATTTATGTATTGCTCCGTTCTGTATTTATCAAACTTCTGAGACATTGATGTAAAGAATTTAAAGAAATTTTAAGAATTTTATATTGCGTTAAGGCTTTTTCACGGGAAACGATATATCGTTTATCGTATGTTTTATCGTTTTGAAGCCAAATCGTACAGGCCTTTTCTCACCAAACAATTAATCTTTCAATTTTATGTCAAATAATTATCAATAAATTGAAATCATTTGACATTTTCCGTTTGAGCCGTTTGAGACTATATTTGTGGAATCGTACCTCGAAACTTGCAAAACAATAACATTTTCAACGGATTTTGCCTTTAGGCAGAAGTCCTTTTTTTTCGTTTATTTAATTTGCTTTTATTTTATTTTTAATATAGTATAAATAAACAAACAGTTTACTTAAGTGTACAGACCTATATCTGGTTTCTTAAAAACATTAATTATTAGTACATTTATTATAAGTATTTTAATAATTCGCAATGTATTTATGTGTATTGTATACTTGTGTTTTAAATAAAGCTTCACTCCATTAGTTTTTAATAGAACA